ATTTTAATAATAAATATATTATTCGCGAATGAAAAAAAATTATTCTTTTCTTTGACTTCCTTACAGAGTACAAAAGCCAAGACCCATTAAGAGTTGCAGGGTTATTTGGTTTATTATTTACTATGGAAGCGACCCGTTTCAAAACTGTTTTAAAAAACTAAAAGAAAAAAGTACAAAAAATTATATTAATTCATTTATTTCACATTTAAGTAAAACCGAGGATAACAGATTTCAGCAAATTCATTTAAATACGGTTTCAGTACAGATAGGTAATAACCCATATTTTTAAGGTTTTTTACCTCATAATAAAATAATAAGTTATAATATGTTGCGCTGTCTCATTTTTTGTAACTAATATTAGGAGAAATGATCAAGATAATAAATAAATTTGAAAAGGGTGAAGATAATTTGTGATAAACGCATATAATAGCCTTTTATAATATATATAATAATATATTATATTTTATTTATAACAATATAATGTTAAACTAATTTTATGAATAAATAGGGCATTCAATTAGTATAGATTAAACTTTAAATTATTTTTTTCAAAGGTGATCAAGTTTATTCAGGACTATAGACATGAGAATTTGTTATTTGTATTATGTAACCAGAAATGTTACATAATATAACATTGGACTGTGCTCCAATTGATGCAATTTTTGTCAAATAATATCTACAATATAATATCAAAACTATATATTTTAAATATAATATTTAATCTACAATAAATATATCATAATATAATAATAGCTGTGTGGGTTATAACATAAATGATTTTTTTTTATTTACGTAATTTTGATATTTTTTTCTTTTCTGGAGGTTTTCCTTTCTCTTTCTATACATGTAATTCTTTTTTTCTTTTTTCTTATGTCATTTTTTCCAGTAAAATTATAAGTATAGTGGAGAAGATTTTATTTTATTTTTTTAGTAATTTACATACTATTATTTAAGTATGAGTTATATATTATTTGAATCTATATTAAGTTAGTGTTTGGCCAGAAATGTATTTTTTCTTTTTTAACTGTTCATTATTGTTATTCTAAGGGGACATCGTCCCAGAATAAAGTTTATTTTCTATTTCTATAATATAATATAAATATAATATATTATTAATAGATCGTTTTTTCCGGCTCTCGTGATCGATCAATTTTGATGAGGTTCAAACGAAAGAGAATTTCATGGAGAAGTGACGATTACCAATTTCTCGATCTTTAAATTTCTACTAAAAATTTCGGAAAAATTAATGAAAAAATCAAGAGGTTTCATTATTCCAATGTTGGCAAGTCGTTGGATCGAGATGGAATAAACAGTTTTTTGTTGATTTTGATGAAGACATCATTAACAAAAAATTTATCCGTGTTCTCTAGGTTTCGAAGTCCAAAAATATACCTTTAACGAGGTATACTGTAATTTTTCTAAAAGCCTTCTATGTGTAATGGTTGCCATGGGATGCTAATCACGCTTTAATAATGAACAATTTAATGACCAAAAATTAAAATATCGCTTTTGATTCGTCTAGAAACGAACTAGTATTGAGAAAGTAAATGAAGAAGGATTGTTGAGGTTCATAGGGTACCTCGGACAATCCAATCTCTTTTTTTTCCTCTTATTTTCGGTTCATATTTTTCAGGAAAACTCCTTAAAACAATTTGACTATTCTTATGATAATAAACTCCAATATTATAAAAGATTTATACTTTTTCATTATTATTATTATTCATTCATTTAAACTATTTGATATCATTCCAAATTTCCAGGGGGGCTCACAGCATCATTCCACTATCCAACAATGTTACCGCCTTATAGACTACTTTCTCTCTAGAATCAAAATTTTATTGCCCAGTTGTTTTTCTTGATATGAGTCAGGCTTTTGATAGAATATGGCACGATGGTTTTTTAAGTAAATTAAGAGCGTTTATTCCTCCGACACATCACTTAATTTCATACCTAAAAGATAGATTTGTCTGCGTGAAAATGGAGACTTAGTTTTCTGCTATTAAGCTAATAAAAGCTGGATAGCCTTAGGGCAGTATCTTGGATCATACAATTTTCAACTTTTATTGCTCAGACATTCAATAACACTCAGAAACACGGCTGGCTACATTTGCTGACGGCAATGTTTACATCTAACAAAGATGCAGCTAAAGCTTCTCAGTTACTTCAAGAACATTTAGACGACATTGCTTGTTGGGCTAAAAAATGGAGAAAAAAAATGGAGGAGTCTAAGAGCTAATTCGTTTCATTTACACTACGACATGACTCATGTCCTCAAGTATTCTTTAATATTATCGTTATGCCGCATTCAAAAATTGTACGTTATTTGGGTCTCTATTTGGAAAAACGAATGACATGATGAATGACAAGATACAACCAGTTGTAATTTGTACTCATATTATGGTATATTATTTAGGATAAAAATTAATGACTTCCTCTCACAACACACTACATTTATTTATCACAATATTCCATTGTTGTTTGTTCGCTAACTTATATTTTAAGCGAAGTATTTTCGCGGAACAACTAGTCCACTATTTAAAAATAAAATATAAAAATAACTGTATCTAAAACGTATCGCATCACCATTATAAAGTATGCACAGGTCATCCTATGATTCAAGTCATGTAAGCAGCATGACGGGAATCCGAGGATGCTATATGAATATGGACGGTCGCATTATCAGATTGTCTCACTTCCGCCGCGCCTAAAAAGTGTTTTGTCCGACTCTGAAAATTCGCCTGTCTATCCTTTGTACTCAATTTTAAAAAGGTAAAAAAAAATAATAATGTTTTCCAATCCATGAATGGAACGGGTCAACTCAAATATTGACCATTTTTTTCCCTTGACGTGTCAACTCAAATATTGGCAATTTTTTTCCCACAAAATCAATTCCCACATCATCATTGTTCAGAAGTTCTCATATCGTAAGTGAAGAACTCTTATAACAGCTCACAAGGTCAAGGTTTTCGAATATTCACTTCACACACACCTTCAAATCATTTTATAACCAATCTCTGAATTTAAAAACCTAATGTTTAAATAGTGGTCAAGATTGACCTTGAAGTAGTTTATGAACACTCCTTTTGAGCTAGTGCAGGGTTTAGATTGAAGATTGCTTTTAAAAGAGGTTTAGGAGAATAATTTTATAGAGCTTTAAACCTATAAAACGTCCTTTTCTCATGTTTTCATGGAAACCGTTCAAATTTTGTATTTTTTTTTCTATCACAACTAACTATAAAAAGAAAATTATTGAAATAGAATATAATTTAAATGTGTATTTTAATTATACCACGGTACAGGCCCCTTTTAATCCAATTTCTATCATCCGTCTGACATTTCGTGAATAGCTTCATCTCACCGTAACCTACATTTTTTTTTATTTTAAAAAAATCTCGAAATTGGGGCGTTTTCAATCTGATGATCGGTAAATTAATCAGGTATTTAAAACTCATGAACACCCATTTACCTGCGAGTGGTAAACCAGCGGGTGGTCCTACTGTATCCTTTAACAATACCTCACTTATCCCTGTTAAACAAATCCGTTACCTAGGACTCCATCTGGACAAACGTCTCACTTGGAATACTCATACAAAACTTAAATCGCTCGACGTTTCCGACTGCTCCAACACTTACTAGACAAACGCTCTAAACTTCCAATTAATTACAAAAGACTCATAGACATGACTATAATAAGGCCTATTTGGATTTACAGAGTCGAGCTATGGGCCTCCACCAAACCATCAAATTCCTCTCGTATCCGATCCTTACAATCCAAAATCCTTCGCAAAATCCTCAATGGTCCTTACTTTTTTACAAATAAAATTATCCATAATGACCTTAGTGTTCCTTATGTTTCAGATTGGGGCCAATCCAGATAATTATCCTTCCATAATAAACTTCAAAAATTATAAATCGAGTCCGTAAATGTACCAGTGACGGACAGTTTTCAACTCATTAACGGATAAAAAATATTATGCACCAAAAAGAGAACGCAAATTTTATCAGAATTGCAGATGAAACACTTAAGAAAATAATATCATGCCATAATAGCCGATCGGTAGTTGATTTTTTAATAAAACAAGACTGGGATTTGTTTCAAGGAGTTTTGCTTATTACTTTTCTTTAGAAGATAAGTTTGAAATTTGTATTTATTCATCTGTGGTTTTCTATTGCTTAGTTTAAAATAGCGAAGAATTTGTTTTGGTTTTTTTTTAACATATAAAAAACTTATTTACCCGATAAATCTGAGTCTAAGTCTATTACTGGTGTAAAATAAGCTGTCAGAATCACTTCATTTTTTCATGAATAATTAACTAATCGACTGTTTAAAAAAAAATTTTGATAATAGGCTAAATTTCTATTCAATTAAATCCATTAACAAAGATCCACCATGAGAACTAAAGAGGAGCTGGATGAGAGATCTCCTTTCCTGAATCAAGGAAATAAATCAAGACCAAGAAGAAGTGCTGCTGGGTACTAGCTTTTTTCCTAATGCCTAAAATGTCAATTTTTCGGATTAGTTAAAGCACATCTGCTTATTGTCAAGCTCATGACAGGTTTGGATGGAAATATGAAGACAAAAAAAAATAGATATCGTCGACACCATGTTAAAGAATTTGAACTTGCCCAACGTTGCACATTCATAGCGAGTATTTTAGGTTTCATTAATATTTAAATTACCTATCATGTATCTTCTCTAGATTTGTATCATTTTTAATAAAAATGTGTTAGTATTATTTTATTCATTGATCGTAATATGAAGCATGTTTGTTGTTATATGTTATTGATTAGTATTATTTCCTAAACTAAACCCTGCGTCTTTGTGTCGCTATTGTTCAGACAGATTATTATTTTCTGTTTATTTTTATTTTTTTTTTTTCCAACATTTCAAAAATACCTGTTTACTACAACCTCCATACATTCATCTTTAATTTTATATTACTCATTATATTTTTCTATTATAATGGATTAATGAAATTAATTGAAATATTAATTTATAGGCAGAATAACATTTACGCAGCCCCAAGGCGGTCCGGTAATCTATACAGGTAACGTCACAGGCCTCAGTGAAGGTTTACATGGCTTCCATATTCATGAGTTCGGCGATGTGTCAAAGGACTGTAAATCTGTTGGGGCACACTTCAATCCTGGTTATGTAAGTAGATTTGGTTTATACAGATATATATCTATTTATTGTTTCGATACATACATATTCCTAATTTATCTTCAAACGATAAAAAGGGAATAACTTTATTGGCTTGTTCTGTTAACCAAACTTTAAACTGTCCTAAAGTACATAATAATAATCTACTCATCATCAAATACTCAAGAGGAATTTATATATCGCTCATTTTTCGATGATAAATAAATTTTATTTTCATAAGTAGATTTTAATAGTGTATTTTGAATATTTTTTTTCGAATAAAAAGAGATGTATTTTGTGAATATATGTAGTGAACTCACCGTCGCTGTATTGTTGGCTCCATCATTATATGGAAAAAGCTATCGTTCCCAACCACCCCTATTGTTAAGCAGTCGGGGCACATTCAATACCATCATTAGGATAGGATAATCATTTATTCCCCATTATGGTCCGATAGGAGGGTGCCAACTGCAAAACAATAATCCTTCTTTTTTAGTCTCAAACCTCAATATATTTTACAATATTTCACATATACACTGCCTCAATAAAGTTTCAATACAGTTAGTTTTCTTTTACACTGCTAATAATCTATTTATTATATTATTTTTATTAATCAGGAAGGGTAGCAGAGGCAAAGGTGTACCAACATGACAACAAGTTCATGCTGGATCGCTAATCTCATAGCAGAAAGATATACAACTTTAATCTAAATTTCAAAAAAGTTTCATACATCTATAATATCTTAATTCTATTTTTATTCAATACCATTATTTTGCTCAAAAATATTGTCTGAACACCACATTCAAAGTTCAGTCTACTTCAAATCATCATTATGCTAATTGAATCCCATTCCTACTTCGAGATCTTCTTCAATTCAAACCTTCTTGATTTTCCACGCGCCGTCCTAATTTCTCCCACAAATGTCGTATTAGGTTCATGTCTGGTGATTATGGAAGAGTGTGCAACTGTTTTGGGACATTGTCGATTAACCATTAACTTTCTTGGCGGTGTGCTTAGGGGACCGTAGTTCTGTTGAAAAATAAACCAAGTTTTTCAGAAGAACTTTTTTAGTTGTTCCTTAGAATGTTTAGCTCGCATCATTTTATGTTGCAAGTGACACACTACATAAAGACTTGAACGTACCTTCACAATTACTTTCACCAAAGACTGACGTACTACATGAATCCCTTGACAGAAACCCTTCATCGTACAGGAAACCCTACAGCCCACAACGACGACTACGTAGGCGTTGGCCAAGAGACTTGCTGATCTGATTTATATCCCGGACGTGATGGGAAGCTGTGAAGCTGCCAAACAATTTGCTCATTGCAAAGAAATTTGCAGAAAGCAAATTTAATTTTATGCTCTACATTTTGGTTTGGTTAATAAATAAACAAAAGAATGTTTAGGAGTAAACGCTGGTCTAAAAATCTATCAATACAAACCAGATTGCCAACTTCTAAAGCACATATACCAAAATTTTTTTTCCCCTATGCCGAAGTCATTGATCATTCGATTATCCAACATCTTGCTGCCCAGTATTAGATCGATTTTTTTATATATTCATTGCCAAAAGTTTTATTTCTTATATCCGTCAAAGCAGGACATGTGTATAGGTGGTCTGCATCCATTTTTGCTTGATCACATAATTTACATCTAGGATCCTCAGCCACGCCTATCTTGTGAAGATGACTTATACCAAAATCTTAAAAAGTTTAATTTTTAAATTTTATTTGTGACTGATTACCTCAACCATCCTTCTCTTCATTATTCACGACAGTCAACGATCAACCAACAATTAAAAAGTTTACATAATAAAAACATTATAATTGATATCATAAAATTTTCACGAGAAATTGAAATTTTCAAGCATAGTTCATTTGCATTTTGAAAATTTTAAAAATTGCATCTATGTAAAGATTACCACAATAGAATAAATATTATTTCGCTTTGAAAAGATTTATAACTAAATTTAAAAAAGAAACAGGTTTGTAAGGGAAATCTTTTTATATGTCCATCACTCGATACTACATTAAGTTCAATTGATCCGTCTTTACACAATTATACCACACAAGTTATTTTGAGATCATCATGGAAAGACAACTCGGGCTTGAAATGAGTCCCAAGTGAATTCGCATTTGGGAATAGTTGACATTATGTCTTTTCATCAATTAAGTAATTTCTGCTTTTGCTTATTGCAATTGCCGAATAGTGACATCTGTCTTATGGCCAACATACAGTAATTATCCAACTCTGTTTTATCTCTTCCACGAACTGTAAAGCACGACTAACAAACAATGTCGCAATCAACTTCGCCACATGTCTCTTCTCTACAATAATGCAATTCCTTTGTCTTCGTGCCATCAAAGACAAACGAAGATTTTTGTTATTTCATCACACACCTCACGCCAAGGCTTTCCTTCGGCCTCCCTTTCCTGTAAATTATATTGGTAATTATTGAATAGAAGTGGGATTATAAAAGAAAGCTAAAAGTTAATTAAGGTTATAAGACTAAATCAATAAGATAATTCTAATGTTAAATTCTCATTTTTTAACTCACTTTCACAGTATATGTGGTTATAGGCTGTCCTGTATACTTGAGGGTATACGCTACTAAAGTAAAGCGTTTCATTAAATTATTCTGGATCTCAAAGCGTTTTTAAGTCTCTTGCTGATATGTCAAGTTAATAATCCAACGTCATTACTTCAGAACGTCTTTAAAACAAAAAAACTATCCTTAGATCTTTGAGCATCTATCTCAGTGTTCAAAAAGTGTATAACGTTCATCTATTCACTTTTTCCAGATACCAACATATCGATTTCAACTTAACTGCTCTCTCATAGCACTTTGGTAAATCACTTAGTAGTATCTCACTTTCAATTTCCAATCTGCCTTCATTTGTGATTCTTGATATAAATCCTTCTTTAAACAGCGCATACTTCTTCGTTCATTAAAATGTGTTTGTGGCCTATTTAAATTATATTTTTGATAAATAAATAAATGACGATAACGCTTGGAAATATATTCATAATTGGTGAATTTCTCTCATTCATGTGTTATCTTGCTCTAGAATGAAATTTTTTTTCATCCCCGTACAAGAATTATTTTCGAGACTCGTGTCTTCAAATTTATAAATACCAGCATTGGCTGGCTATACAGATGTGAAATTTTACATTTCCTCTTTATTAATGTCAAAAAATTGTGTTTGTGAAGTTTTTTACTGATAGCAATTCAAAACCATGAATTATAAGACTACTCCATTATTTGGTACATTTTTCAAAAATTCGTTCAGACATTCAGTTAAAGAGATATAGGCTTAACCTGAATTTCAAATTGATGAATGAGAAAAAATTGAATACATTCAATTGGTTTTATTAAAAAGTAGTTTTATGGAAAGATAAATTTATCTCTTAATTCCATATCCTAAGCAGTATATGTTTAATATTTAATTTCTAACATAAATATTTTTGTTGTTACAGACCCACCATGGAGGTCCTGCTGATCCATACCGCCACATTGGTGACCTGGGCAACATCAAGGCCAACGCTGAAGGACTAGCCCAGGTCCATGATTCTGACCACCTCATATCCCTACATGGTCATAACTCAATCATCGGACGCTCATTGGTCATCTCCGCCAACAAGGATGACTATGGAAGAGGTGGTGACAAGGAGAGCCTGAGGACTGGAAACTCTGGAGACACAGTGGCTTGTGGTGCCATTGTCTGGATCCATCCTGTCCGTCCCAAGCCCCCGCAAGAAGGAGAATCTGCAAAACCAGAGGGTGGCGCTGATACAGAAATTGTGGAGCCTTGAGTTCATTAGGGAGAAACAATTGTGAATAATCATTTTTGTGATATATCAAAACTCCAATCAAATTATGTATCAGTTATGTAAAAAATACACCTCACAGATATACTACACCTTACAAGAATCTGTAAAATTTCTGAAGTAATATTCAGATTTAAACTCCTAAATCATAACTGAACTTAATATCAACCTGATGTTAATCCTAAGAATGTTATAAAATACTCTACACTCTTTAATCTGTATACTTACTTTCCTTCATGCATGAAACATCGATCTAGGATAAGATGGTTATTATTTCATCTTCCTATTTGCTATTAAGCAGTTTTATATTTAGTAGTATATACAATATTGATTTTTCAAGATCATTTGATACACTGTAAGCATTTTTTCATCAACAAACTCAATTAACACAAATTTATTATTTATAATGTTTTACCACATATCTCCAGATATGTAGACATTTTCCAGCAAATTCTCTTCCACCTAAAAGATTTTGTCGATTCTTTGTAAAACAAAAATTACTTTTCATTCTCCTCTTTAATAGTATGATTATGTTTAAATATAAAACTAATTAGAGTCCTTACGCCATATTTTCAGAATTAAGTATAGTGTTTTCTAATAATTTAAATTATTATAACCTACTATCAATCCAAAATATTATTTAATTTATAAGATAAGTACTGTGTTGAAATCGATACTAACTTTTTACCTTCAAACATTTTAGCAAATTTAGCATCAATGCCCATATGGAGCAAAAAAAAAATTAAATTCTTATTTTTAATATGAAATTATCAAAAGCCTATGTCTATGGTTTCTCATAGTTCATTAATCTTATATTAACTATTTTAAAGTGTTCCTAGTTTAAGATTTTGCAGAAAGTATTTTTATACTTTCATTTTTTTAGTAAAAAGCAATATGATTTTAACAGAATAAAGTTATCTAAATATTTCATCTTAAATTTTTGTAACATAATGATTGTAAATTATGATTTAAAATATATCAATACCGCATACCATTTCTGAAATTTATATAATCATTTTCAATTTGTAAATAAATGTCTTTTTGTTATGTCACTGACTTTCATTAATCCTTCTTTCCCAAATTATAAAAAATTGAAATAATAATCAGAAATTATTCATCTTAAAGGGTGTGTAAAAGTTATTATCATCATTTTGCATTAACAAAAACAATCACAGGCATAGCAGAGTTAAATAATGGGCCTGTACAAAACAGTGAAACAACTAATAACATAAACCATTTTTTAACAAGGCAGTAAATCGAAACAATAAAACAAAATTTGATTGATTGATTATGTTTTATAAACAGGTAAAGTAAAGAAGAAAATGAATTGCTATATAACAATTTTCACTTTAACATTATCAATAAAGGTTACCAAATTTATATATTACATATAAATATATACAAAGTTATATATTAGTGTAGGTTAGCAAATTTCATGAAAGATGCATACTTATAAAAAGCAGTTTAAAGTTAGATTCATAAATTTTATAATGCATGATTACCAAATCCAGAGCTATTTGTTACTTGTGACAAATTACTAAATTTTTTTATGGTATACATAAAATGAATATCACTGTATCTTTTCTTACAAAGATAAGTGACGATAAATTACACCTCCTAATCTAAGAAAAATTAACAATAGCTTGAACTATTGCAGATTTTTTATACCTAGAACTTTTAGAGAAAGGCAATCGAGACATTTACTTGGTAACCCATCTTTTAGAACTTACAAAAAAATATTATACTGCTCCTTAATGAGATCAATTAGGACCTAAAAAGTAAAACTTTTGGAATTTGCAAAAGTTGAATCTATCCAATGTATATATGTTTATTAAATCTGTTTTATTAGTATATGTATAGATTTTTTAAAAACGAAAAAAAAAATAGGAATGGTTAAAATTTATGATTTCAGAAAGTCGATATGAATATTAAATTGTTGATTAATTTTAATTTTGATTGATAATTTACTTTCTTTCTTTTTTTATCTTTTTTTTTGTTTGTATCCATCTTATATTAAGCATTATAGTTTCATGTCAATAGCTGTTACATTTGCAAATATGAAGTGAGATCCTGGTAAGTTGATTCCATTATCTTTGTGCCCTTCCCATCAGAATATCTTGGCCTTATTTTTAAAAGATTCAACAAGATTTTCCAACTACTTACAAACTACTGGCCAAAAGTGTTGAATCACTTGGAATATAAAAAGAAATTTTAAAAATTAAGTGGATCATTCTACTTTGGGATTATCATAAGCAAAGAATATAAGCACAATAAAAAAATTAAACAAAAAGATAGAAATTATAATATAATGTGAGTTTAAAGTAAATTCTGGCTCATCAATGAACAACATAAGGGACCAAGACAAGTCTTTTTCTGTCAACTCAATTTCTTATGCGGTAAACAGAAGTATTAAAACTTGGTGTGCTGATTCATAAAAACTTTATCCTATCGCCTTGCAACTATTCTTTGAGAAATATTGAAAACTCGCTATCTGGAAAGTCTGGAAATAGTTTTTTGGCTCATTCTCTCTTCATGCTACTTAATCAGACAAGTCATTATTTCTTTCGATACATGTACCAAAGTCTCTAGCCCATTCACATTTTTTTTTTTCTGTGTGTGTTTGTTTAGCTTCTATCTGTCAGGATCTTTGGCTTAACGTCTCAATTTTATGTTCTTTGATAAAAATCAAAATTGTTTAAATAGTTTAGCAGTTTTCCTATTTCTTTTTCCTCATCTTACAGGATTTATTTCATTTACGTTCCCATTTGTAGATTTTTCTTAATATCAGTGTACCTTCTGCCTATTCTAATAATATATGCTGCACTTTTCTAGGTACTTGGCCATGTGTGCAAGTTGGAGCTTCTAATCCTCGCAGGAGGTATCCATGGAAAAACTCACAGCCTCCGATTCTTAGGCGACATAGTATCACTTCTTCTAGTCTAGACTTTCAGTTGGATGTGTTCCATTTTATACATTTTTTTTGTATTTCTTGAAGTTCTGCTGAACTCATTCACTTTAAAAAGATTAAAAACCTCGCTTAAGGAATAAACTAAAGAAACAATCAATTGAAGAAAATTAATAACATAGTGTACTGAGGGAATTTAAATAAAAATATACTTTTAGTAGTGATTTAGGCCTCAGCAGTCTCATTCATAATATATTTTATTTAAGGGTGCCTAGAAGGAGGTTTCATGGTCAATTTTCAAGAGAGGGACATTTTGAAAGGATTTTAAATTTTTGAGTGGGGCACATTTTTGGAATGACAAGTTTCAAACCAGAGAAGGGGAAACGTGGAACAGATTTCAGAAAATGTAATTGTATGTTAGCTAAGATTTTTTAAATTCTAATTTCGCTTGCACTGTCTTTAAGAAGAGGAAAGCAATAAAATATCATGGAAGGGGAAGGAGGGTAAGTTCATGTGTCATCGACCTTGAAGGAGATGAGTATCCCTCTCCATAATAATGATTTTATTATTAAATCATCCTAAATTTCATCAATTCAGGTATCTTCAGGGACATGATATAACTTTAAAATATTATGGTAATGTACATATTGCGAATAGCGGAGTCCAGCCTTGCACATCTAATTTGGTACAATCAGAATAAAGAAAAGCTTTTTGAAGGGAAAATTTCTTTAGGCGCATTTTGTACTTTTTTGTGGAGAGTGAATTAGATTGATCTGTCAGATTTCCGAAGCGTTAACACTCGGGGAAAAGTCGATTAATTGGGCCTGCATACAACAAGCTAAGATATTGTTCAGCATTTCATCCTCTCTGTAATAGGCTATTATTCAAAATTGTATCTTAATGTGATGCCATGTTAGGGAGGCAAAAAGGAAAAAATAGTGTAATATAATAGGTGAAATTCTTAGACATAATGGAAGTGTTTTTGCATATGAATTAAAATATCTTAGAAACTAAAAATCAGACCTGCATACTCTAAATGAGAAAATTGTTCAGCATTTTATACTCTCTTTAATGTGCTATTATTCAAAATTTAATCTTGATGTGATGCCGTGCTAGAGAGGCAAAAAGGAAAAAATAGAGCTGAAAACCAAATGATAATGAATTTTATGGAAGATATGGATTAAAATATCTCAGAAACTAAAAATCGGACCTGCTTACTGCAAGTGAGGGAAATTTTCAGTATTTCATCCTCTTTATAATGAACTATTATTTATAATTTATATTTCATACTATTAATCTTGCCTTGTTGATGTTTTCACTTTTATGCTGTAGTCTAAAGCACAGACCTTAGTTTTTTTTACTATAATGTTTTAAAGTTTTACTATACGCTCGAGATTTATAAATAGCATAGTTTTAATGGTTGTTAAATAACAATCATGATGTTTTGAAAATGGGAATGCAGTCCCGAAATGTCAAAAAATAAAATATAATTTAAAAAACTGAAAGATTTGTTTGCTGAATCCTCTAACATTTATGAAACTCCCAACAAAATTAAGAAAGTAAATAATACTGCTTGTCTTCATGTCATGAGATACTGACAGAAGAAGCTGTCTTCACCTCTGTTTCCAGATTAATAGTTATGAAAATAATGTATTTTTGCTTAGAGAAAGTCTATGAAACTTTTTCCCAATGAGCTATTGGGACCTGGGTTTGTTCAGCACTAGTACCTCATTGGGTTTGTTCAAGTGCTCCATTCTGTTATTCATCTTTAGCACTTGCCCTATGATAAATTAAGTTTTTAAGATTAATTTAAATATTTTAAACTTTTTGGGTCTTCCCCTTCCTAGTCTTTAAGGCTATACAGAGTTTACTCAGGCCAAGGGGTGAGGGCGAACTTGTGACTATTTTTTATCAATGTCTTTTACATCAGGTTGCTCGACAACGGTGGTACAGTGCACATTCCCAGCTCGTTCAGCCAACCTGCCACAAATTATTTTAAACTTATCAGATACTTCATAAAACAAATTACAAATGATATAACAAATATGGTTTACTAAAGAGGAATTAAGAACTATACAGTTGTACTCCTGAAGACAAAAACCTAACTGAACAAAATCCATCTTGTAATAAAAACTACCAGAAAACTTGTCGTATGAAGAGACAGTAAAACAACCTCAAATTATTTATTGTATTTTATGTGAAATTATTGAAAATCAGGTTGCTGTTTTTAATTGAGTATAAATCTATTGAATATACTTATATAGACCAATATTATGTTATTGCATTTGTTAATTGCAACTTAATAATAATGTAATTATCATTTCATATAAAACACCTTAACTTGTGTGTTGAAACAAGTTACAATTTAAAATATTATCATTTTTCGAGTAAATCATTTATATTCCTTTATTTTTCTCTTTTCAGTTACTAAAAACATCTTTTCAGCTCCAAAAGATAGAAGGTTAAATAGAAGATCTTGTCCGAAGTGGATTGATTGCATTATCACTGAGTTATAAAGACATTGTAAGTCTGTTATTGGAAGTTCTTCCAGTTGATTAGCTGAAGATGACAAGTTCCAGAATTAGTCCTGTGTCTTCACTGAATTTGACACTGACAAATAAAAAACATGAAAAATGAGTGGTTTAATAGACTACAGTTAATGAAATAATCATTATGTGCAATAATAATATTAAAGTTACATCTTACTA